AAATTAGTTAAATTTTTAATCAAATTTAAATTATTATTTCCATAAATTATCATAATCGAACCTTGTCCTTTTAATTTAAAAAAAATATTAATACTTAAATTTTGATTTAATATTAAAGATTTATAATATAATTTTTTGATTTTTTTTTTTAAAAATATTATTTCGTTAATATTTAAATCATTATAACGAAATATATATAAATATTTATAAGTTTGTTTAATTTTTTGTAATTGATTTAGTTTATATTTTTTAAAAAATTTTTTTTGCATAATTTTTTTTTTTTTTTTATATTAAAATTAACGATCAATTTCACCAAATACAACATCTAATGTACCTATAATTGTAACTACATCAGCAATCATATAATTTTTAGCTATAAAATCTAAAGCTTGTAAATGTAGAAATCCTGGTGATTTTATTTTACATCTATAAGGTTTATTTGTTCCATCAGATATTAAATAAACACCATATTCACCTTTAGGTGCTTCGATAACAGTATAAGTTTCTCCACTATTTACACTAATATTTTCAGAATAATATTTAAAATGGTGGATTAAAGATTCCATAGAATTTTTAATTTGAGTTCTATTTGGGTTTGTTATTTTTTTATCATCTAATTTTATAAGACCTTTTGGAATTTTATTTAATACTTGTAAAATAATTCTAATAGATTGTCGCATCTCTTCAATTCTAATTAAATAACGATCATAACAATCACCATTTGTACCTACAGGAATATCAAATTCTAATTGATCATAAACTTCATAAGGTTGTGTTTTACGTAAATCCCACGAAATACCTGAACCTCTTAACATTACACCACTAAAACCTAAATTTAAAGCATCGTTAGCAGAAACAACACCAATATCAACTAATCTTTGTTTCCAAATTCGATTATTGGTTAACATTTCTTCAATTTCATCTAAACGTGTATTAAATTGTTCACAAAATATATATATATCATTTAATAAACCTTTAGGTAAATCTTGATTTACACCCCCAGGTCTAAAATAGGCAGCATGCATACGTGCACCAGAAACACGTTCATAAAATTCCATCAATTTTTCACGTTCCTCAAATCCCCAAAAATATGGTGTCATAGCTCCAACATCTAAAGCATGACAACAAACCGCTAATAAATGATTTAATATACGTGTTATTTCTGAAAATAAAACTCTTATATATTGTGCTCTTAAAGGAATATCACAATTTAATAATTTTTCAATAGCTAAAACATAGGCATGTTCTTGACACATCATTGATACATAATCTAATCGATCAAAATAAGGTAAAGCTTGTAAATAATTTTTATATTCTATTAATTTTTCAGTACCTCGATGTAATAACCCAATATGAGAATCTGCTTTTTGAATTACTTCACCATTTAATTCTAAAATTAAACGTAAAACACCGTGAGCAGCTGGATGTTGTGGTCCAAAATTTATA